CAGGAGCTGCTGGGGGAAGATAAGGACTTTGGAGTCCTCTGCTCTGGATTTGAAGCCCAGCACTGCCTATGGGTGCGGAGGGACCTCAGCAAGGCTGACTGCTCAGTCTGTCTCCCGTGCTCTCTGTGTACTGATGTACAATGCATGCTTGGTGGTTCCTGCTAAGTGGAGCTACACTGGGCGGCGGTTTTCGCCTGGGAGAAGCAGTAGCCTTGAGAATCACCTGGATGGAGACATCTGAGTCTCATTCCAGAGTACTAGGCATTTTAACAAGGTTCCCTGCTGGCCCACATACTAGCAACCAGTCTCTTCTTTAAAAGCCCCGAGAGAGACGCTGTAGTGAATGCTTTCAAACAAAGGTGTCTCATGTCTCTCTGAGGGAGCTGATGGGGGAGGGAACGCTGTGGCAAGGCCTCCTTTTTGCTCCTCAGATTTGCTTCCTTTATTCTTGTCTGTTCCAAGGATGAGTCCTGGGCCTCCCCACCCCATCCCCACCCTTTCCTGTGTGCTTCTTGAATAATGTAGCAAGTCACTCAGTGAAGTACTCATGAATCTTTAAAGCCTTTCCGGGGTTTTCCAAAAGGGCCAGGACTCCATCTGAGGGTTCTGCAGCCCCTGCCTCCTTCATCTGGATCCCAGATGAGAGTCAGTGGCCAGGCCAGGACCTGCTGTGGTCTTCTGGCTGGAGCCTTTCAAGGGACACAGTGTTCCCAGCCTCTGCATCCAAGTTCTCAGCACCCATGAATTACACATACAGGGCTTGGCTTGGCTTAGCAAGAGCACATTCTGATTGTCCCTGGAACCAGAGGCATAGCCCTTGCTCAGCCCCAGGCCAAGTGGCCAAGGCCCAGACCTTGTGGTGACCTTTGGCCTCTTGCCCTCATCAGCTCTGAGTAGCAGGGTAACCACTGAACTGTTGCTGGCTTCAGACAGGAGTGATCAGCCCTCGCCTGGTCCCCACGAACAAGCTAGAGGAAAAGCTACCACCAGGCTGCCAGCAACCCCTTACAGCACTCCTGGGAGAGAAAGAAGGTGCCTGGGAGGTTTTCAACACGATGTAGACTAAGAAGTGGATGAGTGAGAGGGGGGCTGGAGGCTGATACCTGGTTCCTGCACTAATTTCTGAAAACTCAACAAAGACAATGCAGGGGGCACAAAGGTCTCTTTGCTCACAGAGAGGCACTGGGGAAACCTGGAGTGCTAACCACACTGGCTGTCCCTTCAAAGGGGGGCCTGCTTAACCTGCCGTCCCCCCAGAAGTCTGGAAATGCTCGTGGTTAGTCGCCCTATCTGTGGAGGGAGACGATACCACATTCTTCCCCAGACCCTTATCATGATCTTGGTTTTTTTCTCAGTCATTCTATAGAAGCCATCTGTTTGGAAGATGTCACATGAACTTTACAAAGAGTTTTGATGTGGTCACATCCAACCTTTATTTACTTTGTTTCTCAAGGAGACGTGTGTGTGTGTGTGTGTGTGTGTGTGTGTGTGTTATGTGCATGAGGGGTTGAGTTAATTATGACCAGGAAAGTTTTCAGCAAATTGTGCTGTGCTTAAAATGCCTAAAATAAACTACTCAGTGTCAGACTCTTGAAGTTTGAACCAACATCAGCTACTGAGTTGTGCTGAACCGAATTAAATTTTTGCCTCCCAGGAATTGTTACTCTACTGACCATGGTGGTGGTCTCAGAGACCATCTGCCCTCTTCCTTTGGGCAGATACAACCCCTTACCCAGCTACAGAAGGGGAGTGTGGGAGGACCATAAGCCTTTCTGCCCTTGTGTAGTGTACATACACAAAGGACCTGGATAATACCATCTTCTGATTCAGACAGAACTGGATAGAGAGGGGAATGTCAGAGCCCAGTGCTGGACAGATTGTCAATCCGGGAGACACTACTGAGTGAACAATCCACAGAGCTCGAAGTGACCTCCAAGGTATGTGACATGCCTGGTGAGCATTCCTTGCAGACCATGCAGAGAGGAGAGTGACCTAGAGAGCAGAGGGAACCTCTAAGGAGCCAGTCTGTCCCAGGGAGGGTTAAGGTGGAAACCAGAAACTATGGTTTAAGGAGAAATGAGAGCTGAGCTTCAGACTGGGGGCCACCGTAGACACTGTGTCTCTTTAGCACCGTCTCCTCTCCTTGGTAATTTAATGGTAGCAGAATGGTCTTTATAACAAATGACTCTGGGACAGCTGGATATTGTTTAAAAAAGAGAAAGACTGAAGCATAAAGAGGAAGAAGGGTGAAACCCGCATGCTTTTAGGTAGGATTTTTAAAATTTATTAGATTCTGTTAAAGCTAAAAATGCCACAGAGTGGGAAAATATTTGCATGTGTCTGACATAAAGCTTGTTTGCAGAATCTATAAAGAATACTATCAACCCAATAACAAAATGTCAAGTGACCCAAGCTTTCAAAATGAGTAAAAAAAAAAAAAAAAAAAAAAATTGCACAGAGCATTTGCAGAGGAAATGAGACCAATGGCGCTTGAACCCATGAACTCACTCTCAGAATCATCTGCTGTCACAGAAATACATATCTGAAACCTAAGGAAATGCTATCTCACAACCAATAGAGTGGTTTAAATGAAGGTATCAAGTGTTAGTAAAGCAATAAGTCAGCTAAGACTCTTGTGTTCTGTAGAATGCATAGAACAGACAGAATGTCTCTGAAGAGATTTAGACACCAATGTTCAGAGGAAATTTACTCCCAACAGCCAAGGGCTTGGCAGAACCCCAGTGCCCAGCAACAGGACAGCAGCTGGAGAGGCAGCGGTTACCCATCCATCAGAAGGTCACTCTGCAGTCAAGCGTGACTACCAATACACCTGGCATGAAAAGAAGAAAAAACTCTACTGGTGTGTCAAGACTTAAAACTTGAATATGCCAAAGAGGTCTATTCGAGTGGCCAGAATACAGCAAAGAGTCACCTTCTGTGGACAGCTGTGGAGTTCTCAGGTATTACAGGAAACCACCTTTTTCCTTCTTCACTGTGCAATGAGCTAGCATTTACCACGGGGAGCTGATGAGCACTGGAAATGAACTCCATGTTGACTGGCCATACCTGCCTCTTCCTTCAAAGGTGAAAGGCCCACAGCCCAGGGGTGAGGAGGGCAGATGAGCCTTGTCCAAGGACACAGGGCTGGACTCAGGTACCGACCACAGGATGCTCAGGGATCTGGGTTTGCAAAACAGAAATAAAACAACTGCTTTGCCTCCACCCAGCCTCTCTCTTCCTCCAGAGCCCCGGAGGGAGAAGTCTGTATTTTCAGTGGGCAAGGCCAGGCCTGCAGGCCAAGGAGCCATGCAAGGCAATGATCTATGGGGCATACTGTAGAAGTGACGTTGCTCCAGGACCACTTCTGTGGGAATGGGTGAAGGACGTGTTCATATAAAACTTCAGACATAAATGTGTGTAAACAGCTGTTTTCATAAACACCAAAGAACAGAAACATCACAGGTGTCCTCTGACAGATGTGCGGTTAAACTAACGGTGCTATATCAATAAAATAAAATACTACCCAGCAATAAAAAGGGACCAACTGTTGCTACCACAACAGCCTGGATGAATCTCCAGGTAACCAGGCTGGCTGACACTTACTCTGGAGGGTTATTAGTCATGGTTCTATTTATAGAACTTTCCTGACATGATAAAATTACAGGGACGGAGGAAAAAAACCAGTGGGGAGGTACAGTGGAAGCATTGCTCTCTAGGAGAGAGCCTGGATAGCATGCAAATACCAGCAGGTAACTGGTGGATCACCACCGACACAGACACGATGTGACTGAAATGGGAGGTTGGGAAAAATGCATCCCAGAGGGAGTCTTCATCCCATAAAGGTTTAAGCTTTAAAAGGTGGAGCTTTAAGAACAGGAGAACAGAGGCAGTGAGCATCTAGAGTACAGGAGGCTAGGTGGTAGAGCCCGCAAGAAAGCTTCAGAGAGCTGCCCCTTGGGCTTAAAGACCATTCTTTATTCTTCCTAATTGTGAGCCTTTAATGGCTGGGCCATCCACTTTATTCTTTCTCTTAGACCGTGTTGGGGTGGGGCAGGTGGGGGAGATCATTCTTTAAGTTGTCCAACACACACACACACACACACACACACACACACACACACACACACTTCTGTGGGTGTAGGTCTTCTTGATGGATGTGCAGAGAAGCAGTGGAGCCTGACGGTTCTGAGTAGGCTGAGGACCTCCCAGGCCATAGAGCGGTGGTTCTCAGCCTCTGGGTTTCGACCTCTTTGGGGCTGAATGACCCTTTCACAAGAAAGGGTCTGATATCTGGATATCAGATATCCAGCATATCAGACATTTGCATTATAATTCATAACAGTAGCAAAATTATAGTAATGAAGCAGCAACAAAAATATTTTTTTATGGTTGGGGAAAACCACACATGAGGAACTGCATTAAAAGGTCTCAGCATTAGGGAGAGCCAGTGCCACAGAGAGATGGGACCCAATGTGGCGATTCTGGACACTGAGACTGGAGGCCAGTATTTGGGCTGAAAGGGTGCAGAAGCAGTGGGTGCCAGAGGCAGGGAAATAAGGAAGAGTTGAGCCCAGAAGAGTTAAAGAGCCATAAAGCAAGGGAGGAAACAAACCCCACTCCCACTCTGCAAATGAGATACCCAGACTCAACCAAACACTGATTTACCCAAACCACACGATACAGAAAAAAAACTATAGACTTTCCGCTTCTTTCTGCCCAGTTCAAGAGCAAGTATTCAGGAGTCTGGGAGCAGGACTCTGTCTACACAAACAAGTCCAGGAAAGCTCTTTTGGAGGACCCAGGAGGGATGGAGTCAGGTGCCCTGGGAAGAGCACCCACCTCGCTGGATTTGGATTGGAGGCTGGCTCACCAACACAGCTGTCCCGCCGCAGCCCTCAGTTTCCCCATTTGGCCATGGCAGAGGGACGATTGCTAGAAATCAGGGGTCCTGCTGGGCCCGCCCCCAGGGGTGGGGCTGGGAGTGGTCACGTGCAGGGGCGCCGCGCCCGGGGTCTCCCGCCCTCTCCAGGCGGCGTCTGGAGTCTGAGCCTGGAGCCAGGGAGGAAGCTGCGAAAAAAAGCGGTGTCGCCGCCGCGCCAAGGTTGCTGAGGTCAGGGTCGCCGGGGCCTGAGGGCACCTGCTCGCTGTTCCGCCCTCTCCCTGATAGCTGTGCGGGAGGCTAGACCGGCAGCGGCGACAGAGGCGACAGCAGCTGCAGCAGCAGCAGCAGCAGCGAAAACTGGAGCGCAGGCAGCAGCGGCAGCCACGCCAGCAGCGACACCATGGATCTTTCTTTTATGGCCGCGCAGGTAATCTGGAATCTTCCCCAGGAGCCCTGGGGTCGCCAAGTTTGCAGGACCCCAGCCTCGCTGTCATCCCCGACGGAGCTCTAGCATTCGTGGCGAGGTCCTTTGTCCCAAGCCGAGCAGCCCCACCTGGGGCGTGTACCCGGGACGGGAACTTGGCTGTCCTGGGTGGAGTGGCCCGTGGCCCTTTCACACGGAAGGGTGCAGTAGAGATGACTCTATTGAGCACCCCGCTTAGCAGCAAGACTGCTCCGAGGAGTCTGGGCAGCTGGAGTCCCCCTCTCCCCTGCCCCTCCCCCACCCGCTGTTTGCTCTGGAGCCCCCGGACTGGCAGAGGGGAAGCTGCTCTTCCCACTCTGGTTTTGCTTCGCGCTGGTACTCTGTCACTTGTTGGTGCCCTCGGGGAACCCTACCTTCCTCTCCACTGTGGGTGGGATTTTAGTCCGCGCCGTGACAGGGCTTTGTGACAGAGATGAATGGTTCGATCCATTTTTGCTTTGTGCTGGGTTTGAACAGGGGACCACCAGCACCACCACCCCCAACACACACACACACACATACACACACACACACACACACACACACACACACACACACACACACACAAGATTATCCTGGAAGCAGACAGACAAATGACCCCTCGGTGGTCTGCCTGGTCTCTGCTGCTGGAGGATCTCCTGGAATTATGATCTTAGGTGTTCTCTTGAGCCAGAACAAAGACACACACCCTTCTCTGGAGTCGTGTGTGGCCCCTGGGAAGACCACAGTATGACGGTGGAAGAGGCTACATTTGACTGGACCACAGTCCTGATTCACAAATCAGACATTTCGCCTTCTGTGGTTGTGTTGGGAGCAGAGTGATAAGGAGGTCACCCTTTTGTCTCCTGAGTGTGTCAAGGACCCTCAATCACTGCCTCTTGCTTTGGGGAGTGATGTCTGAAGGGACACTTTCCGTTCTCCAAACTTCACCCGTGTGGTGAAAGTCTGTTTAAAATGTAACTTCAGAAGCCAGACTGAATATGGAGGGTTGTTCCCAAATGGAAGCATCAAAAGGACACAAAGTCCCCAGGTTGGCTCTAGGGAATCAGGACCCAGCTCTGGGCTAGCTCTTAAGCAAGAGAACCATAACTTCCAACAGTTCCTGCAACCTGCCCTTCTTTGGGGGTGACCCATCTCTTTGTATTCTACCCACGTGTAAATGCTTGTGGAAAATAGTCACTACCATCATAGATGGAGGTGGGTTTAGCAGAGCTGGAACTGGGGTGAAGAGAGAAGCTGGAAGGATGTCAGAGGCTGCCTTCCTCTCTGCATCCAACAGAAGCTGGTGTTCCCATGGTTACAAGACAAATTGATCATTACTAACTAACCTTGGGGCTGGCTAGAGCATCCACAGTTGCCATGGTGACTTGACAAAATAAACAGGGCTTTTCCAGCACCTGTGGGCAGGGCCTGTAGGAGTCTGGATGTGGGGGAGGGGTGTTTTTGTTTTTGTTTTTGTTTTTGTTCTTTTGTAATTCACATTTCACTTGGTCAGTTTGTTCCTGCCAACAGACGGCATTGATTACGTGCTCAGCACCGTGCTAGCTGGAAGGCAGAAAAATATGAACGAGCACATCAATGGAAGACACACTAAGGTTTGTTGAGGACCTACTGTGTGTGAACTCTTGCAGGTCCTGTTAGCCTGGAGTTCTACATATCAGAATGCCACCTGTCAGGGAGAGTGAATAATTTACCCAGGGGCATGCAGTCTGTGAGGAAGGAAGCCGGTTTTGAACCTAGACCGTAGGATCTGCAGAGGTTCTGTGTGTTCCCCTCCTGGCTTCACCCTAGGGACACATTCCAAGGTGGCTCCTCTCTTCCCTTCCTCTGGAGGTGCTGGCACCATGGCGCCTCCTGCGTAGCACAGGTTTGGTTCTTCTCAGGATTACTTCCTGCTATAGGTCTGTCTCACTGCCCCCACAGGATGAGAAGAGGTATGTTTTTTTAAATCTGTAGGACACAGCAGTGTGTGGGAGTGAGCTCTTGGCCTGCGTACACCTGGCGTGTGTGCAGTGTGTGTGAGAGAGAGACCTCATTTCCTCTGCCCACTCTCCTCTGTCAGTCAGTGCCTGCAGAGCGATGTTGGCACACGACTTACTTCTTTAGCACCCTGTGTCTCATACCCTGTCGAGCACTAGGACAGGAGTGCTGAGGGACAGGGTGGGGTGGGACCCTCTTTCTGGGTGGTTATAAGGTATTGGTCAGACCAAGACCCAGCAAGAAAAATAGGTATGTGCTGGACTCAGCACGGAACAGGCGCATAGTAGGTCCCCAGAAAGTATTAGAGGGTTGGATGAGGGTGAGATGAGATGTGTGCTTGTGAAAAGGCACTCATACGGACAGAGGGTGAATGCGAGATGTCAAATGTGAATGCCGTCACCAGGGCTTTGAGAAGGAGGCAGTGGACATATTGAGAGGATAGGCAGATGGTCCCAAAGGAGCCTGGGAAGGAGCCTTCTCAAGGAAGTGGCATGGAGGTAGAGAGGCTCGGGACAATTGAGAGCCCTTCAGCGAGCTAGAGGACAGGAGACAGAGTGGGTCTGAGAGAGACAGGGGTCAGGACCAGGTTATGGAAGGTGCTGACTGGCCGTTGAGAAGTTTGGGTTGAATCAGACAGCACTGGGAGCCTTTGTGGGGTCTACGGCACAGATGTGGCATATAGTTAAAGCCACAGCTATGTGTCCCCTCCCCCACTCCTTAGAGAGTTCATGGAAGCTGGTGGAATGGGCAGGGTCTGGAGTGTTGTTCACTGGTGTAGGAAATGTGACCAGATCCACCTGACTCCAGACCTGGGCTTCCTGCCTTCAGCTACAGCTAATGCTACAAAGGATTCCTGTCTGCAGCTTAATATGCCTAGAGTGTATAAGCCTCCCGAAGGGTTTGGGGCTGCAAAAAATAAGTGTTGAGATAACACCCCATCAGTTGTGCAGTGTAGACATGTTACCCCGATGCAGAGGTGTGTTCTTCATGCTCCGTAGCAGACTGAGAGGGGCCATAGGAGAGGCTCAGCCTCAAGCCCTTGGACAGCAGCCTGGGCATTTGGCCATCTCACCACACAGTCCCTCACAGTCCCTGGATCCCAGAAGCTCTAGAAATTGTGAATGTCCAAGACATCCATTTCTCTGTAGCCAGAGGTGATCGGATGGGCAGGGCTACCAAGACCTCAGGGCTGGGGAAAGAGGGAGGGTCACAGATCTCTAGGATGGAGCCCAGATGATTGTACCCATTCTTCCGTCCATTGCTTCCTTTCAGGAGGTGGGATCTGCTCCTGCAAACCTAGAAGGATCCTCTCCTTCAAACCCAGGCTGCCTGTGGTGACTTTCTAGATTCTGAGCATGTTGTATTGGTGACAAGTAGGAACGTCTGAGATTGTGTCCTGAGAAGCAGGGAATGTCACTGATGTTGCTGGGACGTTTGTGCTGGTGGAAAGATTCTGCTGTGTGCTAAGCCGGTGGTCATCCCCATAGGGTTTGTGACAGGGGCCGCACTTTCCCAGGCATGTTTGAGAACTCAGCCATGCTTCTAACTTAGGCTGTCTCTACCTTCAGTGGTGTCTGGCCTGTAATAATCAATTTTTCCTGACCTTAGGATCCCCTGGGGGCTTTAGAAGTGTCCTAACCCTTGCCCCTAGGCCCACCTGGTATCCACACCACAGTAGTATTTCCAGTGTCCCATCAAGACGGAGACCTGAAGTACATAGTCAGCCAGCAGGATCCCCTCCCTGTCTTTGGTTGAAGCAGGTCACTGGCTTTTTGGCCAGTCTTAGGTCATAAAGAGACATATGCGGCCCTGAAAAGTCCCAAACACTGTATTGATGTCAGAGCTTAAAATACTTAAGCTAAGAATTTGCTCCAAATGTGAGATTCTCTCTCCTTAGACTGTGCCTGTCACCTGCAGGCTGGCGGATGGCTTTGTTCTTCCTACTGTTCAGACTGCGAGGAACCGGGGTTAGCCTGGAAGTTCCGCCACCTCCTCCACAAGCAGGAGCATGGAAGCCCCTGTGCTTGTCCAGGACCATCTCACCGTGTCACCCCTCCAGCCAGCCAGCATGTGGATGGTCAGAGCAGACCAAGAAGTGGGGGTTCAGTGGCCCCTTCCAGAATCGGCCTCAGGGAACCTCCCATTTTCTCAGATAAACAAAGCATTACGTTTCTGCTCATTTAATTTAAACAAGTCCTTGAAGGAGCACAGGAATAGACAGCCAGCTAAAACAGAAGACTTTCTTGTCGTTCAGCTCTGAGGCCAGAGGTTCTCACACAGATGCCCACCTACCCTGGCCACTAAAGGCCTGGAAAGAGGTCTGTTCCCTGCCATGGTTGGTGTCCCTTGGTCTCTACACACTTCACTCTAGTCCCTGCTTCTGTGCTGGCATGGCGTCTTCACGCTTTCTGCTGTGTTTCCACTTGGTCCCCAGTGAAAATCTCCTGGGCAGCTTATCTTGAGCCTGTCTGTGCATATACAGAGACTTTTAAAAGTAAAGGTGTTCGGTTAGGACTTAAGCATTTTTTCTTGAGGAGACACAATTCAACCGACAGTGAGATCTGGGGACCCTCCCGTTAGTCACTGAGCAGTTTCCTCTCCAAGTCTCAAACTCCTCGCCTTTGAGACAAAACGGTACTCATTTTGTTCATGGAGTGAGTGGGGGATTTTGTGCATGTCAAGCCCATAGTGGATTGTGTGACAAGACCCCTGGGAGCCAACCTGGGTCACCTTTTATAGAGCTTAGCTTGAAGATTATGTAGCTGTAGTAAACAGGAGAGTGGGCAGTCAGGAGGAGGAGCCAGTATGTGGACGGTCAGCATTGTCTTAACACAGTGTATCCTTTCCACTAGGAATTACTATGAGCCATTCACTGGGACAGAGGGACAGGTGATGAAGGACCAGGAGACAGGACTAAGGAGCCTGGGGCTAGCTGGGTGGCTTCATGGACAGGAGCAAGGTAGTGAGGGGTGCCCTGAAGAGTA